AAAGGGAATGGGAGGTAGGTGCAGGCCCCCCCTCCCACACAAGGGATTTTTCCTGGAAGGAAAGGGAGGTTTTTAGTTGGTCGCCCCACCCTTGGGGGGTTGGGCTTCTTTCCAATTCTCCCTTCGCAGTCCCTCGCCGATTCTCGCTGCAACCTTCATGGCCACCCCGCGGGCGTCCCACTCTCGTCGTTCTCCCTCCGGTCGCTTCCTCCTCTGTCACGTCGCTCTCCTCTGCCTCGTTCTGCGACGCCGCCGCGCCGCCTGCCGATCCCTTGCTCTCGGGGCTTCTCCCGCCTCTCGGCGCAGCTCTGCCCTCCTCGCGGCATATTTTGTTTGGCCCCTCCCTCGTGCCTCGAGTTTAGAGAGAGATTTTTGAAGACCAACAAGAAATTTCACGACGCTCACTGCACTCCAAGTGCTCGAAGTGCACAGAGATTTGGGCTCGGCAGCTTGTTAGCCCTCAGCCGAAGCTGGGGCCGGTCCCGTAGCCGAGAGAGCCCGCGCCGATGAGTTCGACGCGGTCGGGGGGGCCTGCGGAGAGGCCAGCGAGGTGGCGATCGCTGTACTTCATGGTGTCATCAAGTGACCGGCTGACAAGCCAGAGGTCGATACTCTGGACGACCCATAGGATGCCACGAATGCCTGGAGGAGAGGGAGGCGAGGCCAGAGGCAGACTCAGCTGCTCTCGGGTGATCTCGCTTTGGTGGCTGAAGGACCCGATGGTCCTGTCGAGTTTATCAAGCTCTCCTCGCGCAAAGGACGACGACTCTTCTGACACCCACTCCGATCATTTGCCGCCAAGTCATATCGTTGCTCAGGTCCACTCTCGTTTCTGACACTTTAATGTTGGCGGCTCCTGGAATTCTTTTTTCCACTTCGATCTCTGCAAATGCTCGCCGCCCTCGCCAGCGCAGTCGCGGGGTACCAGCCTCCTTGCCTCGCCCGGAGCAGTGGGCTCCAGTCCACCACCCTCCGCCGCGCGGTGGCTCCCGTTGCCAACATCATCGACCCCAACGAGCCCTCGTCAGAGGTTCGGCGTGCCGGGCCGGCCGATGCGCCGGAGCAGCGGATCGACTCGGAGGAGACGTACAGGATCATGTTTCGGACGCTGATGGAGACGGAGAACAAGGTGGCGGACGAGGTCGCCAAGAACTACGCGCTCTTTGACTACGGCTTCATGCAGCGTCTCGAGGAGGCCAAGGCGCAGGCGGCGCCAGGGTCGGACGAGGCGGGCAGGATAGAGGAGGTGGACGTGGCGCTCAAGTCGGAGATGGCGCGGCGGATGGGCGAGGCCGCGGAGGCGCTGAAATCCGTGCTGACCTCGCCCTCCGCCGTCGTGATGGAGGGGC